TAAACCAGCAGTCTAACACAGAGATGTGAAGCCCTATTTAGAAATGATGTAGATGTAGATTTTTAAAACTCTTTTCACACAATGAAATTGGTTATGTTTGAATTATCATTTTCTTATTTCAGAAATTATGCTTTAATTTTGATATTCTTTGTTAAATGACAAATGACTGAAATACCCTGTGAGCAATGCATGCCTCATGATTCTCTTGTTCAGATTTATTATTTATTTTATGCCCCCTTATGTCAGTGCCGACTGTATTGTGTTACTACACTGCAGCATACTGCAAGAAGAACCCCAGCAAGAAACACTTATTGCACACATTATACTGTCCTCGGGAAAACAGTGATTATTGAACGCTTGGAAATTGTCACAACTGACTCAGGTAGGCTCAGCAACTGGACAGCACAGACAGACTTCCTCGCACAGTCGAACGGCCAAATAAATGTCAAATATTACCAGCAGGACAGAGCAGGAAAAGAAAGAAAACTGTCTTGTTATATATTTTCTTTTTTCATATGACTTGAAGGATTTTAGGGAAGAGGAAGTGAATACAAATGTTCTGTGCATTTTCCCTTTTCGTTTCATTTGGTACCGACTCTGCTAAATTTCAATGTCGACACCCATAAAGGACAGATGAACATGTCATTAGATTTGTCTTAGATAGATAAACTATCAGCTTGAGAACAAGACAGCTGCTGTACACACGAACAGGGTCACTGATTTAAAATACGTGGACACACTTTGCGTTTCAAGTTATACTATTCTAGGGTTGTTACATACATTACAAACACGCCAGTAGTTTGTGCTATAGATTATGGAAGTGAAAAGTGCAAACATATATTACACAATTTTTGGGATCCAAACAGTACGCTCTCTCGATTAACAAATATATGTTTTCTATGCGCGAGTAGTTCATATGTCGATATTGAAAACTATGCGTTAAAAATACCAAGGAAGTAATCAAATGAACACCATTGCAGTTAAATTGTCAGTAAAAAACAGAGCAGAGAATAAGCAAAATATGGAGCACAAATGTAAGGAATAATGTTTGTTCTAAGGATATGTGCAAGTGAGTTGAAGAGAGGGATTTTTTTCAAGTTAGAAAACTGTTATCTGTCCTCCAAAATAATTCCAAAAGTTGGAAAAGATAATGGAGAAATCATGATTTTAATAACAGGCATTTAAAGAAGTTCTGTTATTGTATAAAAGCTATATTGAAATGACTAAATGACCTTTATTGTAAGAGGGTTGTATTAATCTTGGTGAAAATTCATATACATTTTGCACATTAAATCGTTGGTTAGACGCTCGTACTGCTGAATCATCATAATGCATTATGGATTAAAGTATCGGGAAAGGATTTTATTAATAGCTGACGAAGACTGACTCGGGTAGGTCAGAAAACAAAGAATGAATTTAATCCTTTTTATATAATTCCTAAATTTAGTTCGATACAATGGAGCGAAACGGCGAACTGCATTGTGCAGCTGTTTCGTATTCGTTTAATGATGTCTACTTTAACAAAATGTCACATTGTTGCTTTGAAAGAAGCGGACATCTGTTTATGTAAGTATGAAGGAAATACGAACAATGTATTTTAAAATATGACAGACAAAAACGAAAAAAAAAAAAAAAGAGAGAGAGAAAAGGAGCACCGTGAACAATAACTGCCATATAAACTTAGTTTGCAGCGCCTGTATCCCCAATTGATAGATTTGTGAGTAGTGATTGATCATGTTCTTTGAATGTTTTAGGAATGATAAAATCTTTACATTTTTACCTGCCGCTTGTATGACGCAACATAATTAATTCACAAGACGCCGCCCCTACTCACACCTACGAAATTGACCAACGAGATGAGTCACGCGATAACTCAGTGTTCTGATATGTTATCTTTCTTCGTCTTCTTTCTTTTTAACTTTAACATGTATTTATGTAAGTAGAGCTGTAAACATTAAAAACCCACTCCAACAGACTTCAGGCTCTCTGGTACAAATCCTTTATACTGTTTGTAATTATTATTGGCTGAATATGTTAGATTTTCCTAATAAATTTCAAATTCATCTTATTTTCAAAATCGCAACGCGGTCACTATGACGACCCTAAACCTTCCCCATAATTTTCATCAACATGCATCTTTTGAAACTCCTTGTTACGTGACTGCCCTTCAGTTGACGACATCTTACAGGAAAATCATGATAAATGGAACAGATCGTTTCTTCAATATCTAGTCAACTGCGACATGTAAATACCTTATGTAGATATGGGGTGCTTGGAGGCTGCTATCCAGAAATGGAAAATTTACACTATGGAAAACGAAATGATCGCGTTGATCATACAGCTTGGTGGAAAACTGTCAATGTTGGTTTATTGTAGGAAAATATCCAGATAAGCAGCTGATAAAGAAGACCTATCCGTGTCCTTGATTTCCAACTCTGTTATACGATGGACGTGATCAACACATTTCTTGGTATTTAAAGACAAGAAGTCATGAATACACCTAAAATTAAAACTTATCGACTTTGCAAGGTCTCTATGACCTATTTTGATGAACTCTTTGATAGAATTAGCTTCATATAAACACAAACAGAGGGGCACAGTTAATAATCATAGGTATGATAATAGACCATTAGTAGAGACCCTATCAGTGAATTCGACGTCGAGGCGACTGAAATACTAATGTCTGCTTACAATATTTCATCGCCTGAACTTTACGTCACTATAACGACCCTTCAGACCCATAACATTACCACATATTCTTAGTATTATAACATTTGTAAACAGCAATATATCTGTCAAAACAAATGAAATTGACATTTCAAAGATGGAATTCACCACACTGACAACTGACGGAGACTTTGATGCCATCCAACAAGAACAACATACTTGTTCTACTTCCCATGCAAGAGTAAAGTTTTGGTAATGACCTTTGTCATTAAAAATCGAACGCAACTGGAAATAAAAAGCTTGTCGAATTTTAAATTGCAATTCAATGTCAACGCTGGAATAAGAAGTTCCAAAGGTATCTTTGGGTTCACCATTATTATGCCATAAAGCGACGTCCGTCGTCCATTTGTCCCTTTTTGCTAAATAACTGCTACTAGTAAAAGAACGACAAGTTATGATTTCGTCAAAAGCATCCTTCGGGGAAGGGGAACAAATCTTAAAGTAAATGGTTTGCTTTGGATCCCAGAGGTCTTAGGGCTCTGAGGTCGAAGTTTTAAAATTCTTAAAAATCTGTCATGTTCCCATGGAATACTTGTATCCTGTTAAAAGTTGTCCTAAAGCATAAGCGGGTGAAGAAGGTTTGATTTTGTATTGACGATATATTGACCGCAATGAATCATTTAAATTATCATACCGACAAAAAAAAGGAAATTTTATTTTCATTACTTCTGTATTACTCATTTTTCATTAATTTTGTATTGGTAAACTTTTGTCACCAGAGGCATCAATATTCCCCACTTTATGAGATGTGAAACTAAATATGATAAGACTAATTAATCCGGTGTTATTTCGAAAGCTATCGTATTAAAATGACTAATGTACCAGTGGATGCTATTTAGTAAATGCTTCAAGAATTTTCCGTTTAATTTTCAGTCCGTAAAATTAACCAACCATTTTACCTAACCGCACAAAATGTGCTATCCTATCCTACGATACTGTATCGTGCGTGTGTGTTCGCCCTATGTATGCATGATGTGTGCACGACGGTTTTGGTGCATAGGGTAATTTTACTAATTCTAAATACATATGGTCTGAAACAATATAACCGAACTGAAATGTTTTCTAGAAAAGGAAACAATGGGCACATGGCTTCCGTGGACAGAAACAGGTGAGAGTGGAGACAACGGAATTTCAATCCTTATCTTACAAGTTGCCAATTGATACTAGGCCACTATGTTCAATTACTGAAACACTACTGACCACAACTGCCGTCTTGGAAGACCGATGTTTGATAAGATTTTTCTATAAATAGTATGAATGTCAAGGTGGTTATTATACTCTTTTCGGTAAGTCCTTGATTCCAGTTTATTGTTGATGAAGTTCTCGCTTCTATCAAAGGAAGAGAGGGTACGTTGTATCATTTACAAGGGGAGATCCATCCAACCAGTCACCTGTGACGTCACAGAGCCATGTATTTATGTGACCATTAATTTTTGACTTAGCGGTAGCAACGACATTGAAATCTTTTAAAAAGTCAATGGTTTTGTACCGAAATGACCGTAAAGACTCGCTTTGCTTTGTAAAGAATTCTAAGAAAATCTCAAGTTGTGTTTTAGAAAGAATTCACTATAGTGTCCTATTTCAGTATCTCACAATGAACCTTCGATTTTGCTGTAGGGGTTACACTTTCCAGAGAATATTTGTTTGACTTTTAATTTTTCAAAAACTTTAATTATGGAAGCAGATGGAGACAAATATTAAAAGTTTATGAAAATAAACTTCCTAGGTACAGCTTACAGAATAACATGACGCAAAACTGTTAGGCAAGCTTTATTAAACTGGTAACACACACATTGTTTTTCTAAATGCAAATAAGTGTCTGGTGTCTTTGTCTTTCTGAAATGATAAAGTATATTTTAAGACATGTACATGCACGACAAACAATAGGGATTTTATATGGAACAAGTAGCATTTTAAGAATGCTTCAGAAAAGCAAACATGGATAGAAAATATCATACATGCAAATGAAAGCGCTTCCTATTACCATCAAATTAGAATGTCGTTCATAATAGTCAGTGTACTGTACTAACATTTTCAATACTGTACCATTATTACCTCCTGACAGGCCTCTTCCTCAAACAATTAATGAGCACTTGTTTAAAGAAACACACATCAAATATTTACTCCTTATATATAACATCTTGTGGAACTCACATTACAATGGACAATTATATACAAATGTTACGTTATCTATTAGTATTAGACAACTGGAAATTTAATCCTAGAGTCAACAGGTGATGATACTTACAACAAGGTAGACTAATGTTTACACATTAGACAACAGTTGTTGGGACAACAGTTGACACCGGACCAACCATATACAATGTGTGGTGATTGCACATAAGATCTATAATACGACTGTGCTGTAACATCTGGTCTGAGGTCAGCTCATCCTCTCCGCCTCCGATCATTGTAATCATCTTTAGCTGTTTGAGGAAATAGCAATGTATCAAGTTGACGTATGATATTTCAATAACATCATATTGAATGCAGCACAAAGTTTAAAAAAAAAATACTTTGATAGCATTTGTATATTGTTCATATCATCAAATCGATATTTCATTACAGAATTGTGTGGCGGGAGTGGTAATGTAGGCCAAGGTTTATATGCTGTGTAACTGCTTGAATCCTTTTTAGTTTGCTAACCAAGTTCAAAAGAAATTTCATGAATGATTAATATTATGTGAAGAACAGCATGGGGCAGTTGCTCATCTAAATACAGTCGAATGGAACTACCACTGCCGTTCAATAAAAACCAACTTAATGTCATGGTAAATAAGTCCAGCAAGTTTGAGAAAGATCGGTATTGAAAATTACAGGAAGTCTAAGGACAATATTAAATATGAGAACAAGAACGGGCAGTAACACTTGAATCAAACTCAAACCAACGGATTCATGTCATGGTGATTATGCCCAGGCAGTGTGAAAAGATCGGTTGAAAACTATAGAAGAAGATTCTCGAACTGCAAAGGACAGAAACTGTCTCGAATAAAGTCAAATCAAAATGCTATCAAAGCAAACACAACTTCATGGCATAATGATTAAGCCCAGCAAGTTAGGAATAGATAGCTTGAAAACTTTGAGAGGAGATGTCCGAACTGATAAAAGTTTACGACGGACGGACGGACTTCAGCATAGCTTTATGAACTTTGCCACGACACACGAAAGCGCATTTTTTCTGAAATCTGTGCCAGGAAAGGACTTATTTCATACGTGAAATCTTTTCAATTCTTTTCGCACAAGGCACACAAAGGGGAAAGTTTCTGTCAATACAAATTTATAAAAGTTAGCGACTTCCATACACAGTTTAGAGTTATGTTTTGTTATACTATCAAAACATATCTCATTATAGCTGTAAGTTAGACAATGCTGCATTGCACTGAGACCAGCAAGCTTAACAAAATCAAAAGCTTGTACAACGCACAATTAGGTGGATAGCATCTTTCAAAACAAATTTTGAATTATATAAAATGGAGCCCACATTTTAATGATATCAGTGATCGATGACTAATAAAATAGTAGATAATTAGTGATGTTATCATATCCACATAGAATATTTATCAATGTTAATTCAAAATCCCTTACTCGATCCACTGCTTTTATAGATAGATAAATGAATAAAAACTGTATGAGTTATCTTTTCTTTGTAAAATCACAGAAACTTGTGTGAAAACCGTACCTCTGATGTTTCCAATCCTGTGTTGGTATGGATATCGTGTTGTTCAGTAGGTCCAAGACTCATAAAGTAGCAGTTGTGGCTAGTTCGTCCTATCAAGTAGTGCTAACAAGAGAGAAAAAACATTTTTCAGACGTTTATCGGTCATACTGCACGGAAAACATTTGAGTCGCAAGCTTCTTCCCTGAATACTATCATGTTGACATTCTAGACTCGACAACATCTGGTTAATGTTGGATCTAATTCTATTGCTGTTTTTTTATACATATCAATTATTATGACGAAAGTGAGCTGAGTGTTAATGTAAGCTTTCATGACAGTCGGTAATATGATTTATTCGGAATGTATGGACTGCTTCATACAATTAGTTAGTGGTTGAAATGAAACGCAATTTTTTAAATATATGTGTTTTAAAGTAACAGAGTAATATTGACACGCATGCAAAGGAAAGAATGCTTCATAGCACATCATACCATTGACAGCTACAGACTATGACATTCGGCCTGTGGAGACTTTGGGATATATTGTCTTATTTGTATGTAGTCTGAAGCGTATTGGCAAATCCACGAAACTCAAAATGCAAAGATGACATAATTGTTTTTTTTAAAGAAATGATTGATACAGACCCCTGATAAAGTACAGGCATAATAAGACAGTATTTCGCAACGATAAGCGCCTCATGCGTCATCTACGATACCTCCCATGTGAATATTGCTCAATCTTAGTATGTAATGTCACTTTCCCAAAGGAGAGAACACGTTTTAAAACAAACGAAAACACTAGGGGTTCTAGTGAACATCGAACATATCCAACATCATGTCGAACGAGAAAATTTCCCTTAAATAGCTTAAATGCTTCTTCTTACACAAATTAACATTGATTTTTTCTTTTACTTTACTAAATGGATTTCCAAAACTCGATGTTGAAGTAAGAGGTGTAATAGATCCGTAGATCTAAAGGGTTCCCGAATAAAGGAATATTTCAATTCATTTAGTGATGAATATAGGGACCACATATAATTATTAAGATCATTTTAGTCTATTACGTAATGGTCTTTCAAAACAAGTTAGTATTAGATCGATCTTAAAGGTGGAATTTCCAAAAAACAACAAGGAAAAACATTATCGTCACATTTGACATTTGACGTGGCTTTGTACTTTATATGATCATTCTTAGATACAAGTCAATAAATAGAAAACGCTTACCTATCTAAATAACTTCCCTACTATGATAAATGACAAATATTTTAAAATATTTATGTTTCACTGTTCGTCTGGCCTTCAGATTCGGTGCAATTATGTGTGCAATCAAATTGTCATCGTCAAACGGTTTGCCGCTTACCGATTTTGGATCGTAAAAGAAGCTGAAGGAACCGAGCTCTGCGTGATCATGGTGATTTCCACCCAGATGGAATATCTAAAACATACAAATATTAAAAATGAGAAATTATGAAAACATCTAAATAATTTAATATGTTCATGTATCTAAGCCATCTTGATTAATAGCGGTGATTTTGATTATTATTCATAAGAAGGTGATGCATCCCCTTCAATGCTGAGCAACCAGAAGTGAGCATGATGTACTATTTCAATAGCTTAGGTATGTCAAGGCCGAAGGATGGCATTCCTCCTTACTTCTCATGTACCTAAAAGCACGTTACTGCTCATGACATTATCAGTGGCCATACGTGCTAAATATACGAAGAGAAACCCTTGTTTGACTACTCAAACCTCTAGAACTAGATAGAATGTAATCAACGAATCATGTGTGGAATCAACAAAGGGGTAGAACGATTTTTTTGATATCATGTATATTTGAAAAAAAAATCATCCTTAACATACTTACTTGAAAGTATAGTTGATATGATTGTCACGAATATGTCTAATGTCAAACTTTCAAAATAAGTAACCATTTGTTCAAAATAATCATAAGGATAGCCACTGCCTACGTAATAATGTTAGCGAACTTTCCAATATAAATTTGCTCTTAGATGTCTATTCCTGTTTTCTTAACCACATAGGACGATGGTGTTTCTAGATTGACCAGACAAAAAATGGAGAGTGCGTCAAAATGTGGGAGAGTAGTGACAGGATGCGTTGGATTTAATTACACAGGCTATGCGCAAAGGCAATATGAGATTGAGGGGCAAAATATAGCTAACTAAGTTACATTTTTTAGTCATAAAAGCGAGTTCGATCTTATAAGAATATCCTTCATTATTTATGTAATTAGACATTTCGGAAGTGGATGGAAAAAATAGTTAAAGGATGAAATTTGTAAATGATAACGTCGTATTCGTCAGCGGCGACCAATTCAAAGACGAATCGCGTGTATGAAAAATCAAAAACAGGAATAAGATTTATCAGAATATCATTTTAATTAACACTTTTATGAATCGTTATATATGTTTAACATAGTTCTTCTACTAGGTAGTCCGTTTTCCCATCATTCTTCTTAATTCATTAATAAGACGAATATCTATATTTCATTGTCTGCCTTACCTGTGCGGTAGCACATGCCACCAAGGCCACTATGCAAATTTTTCCTAGCATGTTCGTCTCAGGTGGTCTCCAAACTGAAGTGATATTTAAAACAAAGATAAGTTGTTTTATATAGGCTATTATCTTCAGATGAACCTTTTGTAAACTGTTCATTTATCTATAATCGTGACACTCTTGTTGTGACATGGGATTTGTCGACGATATGCACCAACAAGACATCTTTAATGTAAGACTAGCTACCGAGACATTTAAAATAAAAAAATATTACATTTGGTTTCAATAACAATCTATAAATAATTATGAATATTACATGGAAAGTGAAGAATTAAAGAAATACACATGTTGAAAACACAATGCATGGTTCAATTCGCATCAAATATCATTGAATAAAGAAGAATCAATTAGTTGTAAAGCATTGACAAAACTAGGATTAAGGGGTTCTCAAATTTAAAATTTGAGAAAGGTTTATTTTGCACTTTTAAAAAAATAATAATTTGCAAAGTCCTTGATTGCAATTTGTCATATCTTTTTCTGATCGGCCTCTAACCGATTCAATAATCATGGAAATGGAAATGGAGGTAAAAAAATAAAAGAAAAAAACAAAGATGGCCGCCTCTGAGCAATTTCTTCTATTTCTGATCAGTCCCAAAATCAAATGAGGATAAATACGGACCAGAATAACACCAAACTTCTATAAAAATACTAATAATAAACATATTATTTTTAACAAAGATGGCCATCAGTCATTACGTCATTTTCGTTTCCTGATTAGTCAAAAAATATAGACGCACGACAAGGGACAAAAGAAAACTCTACATATGAGATTTCAGCGAGATTTATACATATCTATTACATGTAGTTCTCAAGAAATACAATTTTTCATTGTCAATATTGAAGATGTCTTCCTGTCCATAAAGTCTTTGCAATGGCTTTGCAAATATTGTTAACGTCCTATCAGCAAATTGGTTACCAGTGGTCCATGCACCCCCTTGCCCCAGATAACAGGTAAGTGGGTCAATTATATACTCTACATAATGACAGGATATAATTGCAGGTTCTTGAACAGGACACATGGATTTAGGTTTAACCCCGAGAACGTATACACGACTAAATTGTCATTTTAGTTACCAAATATAAGCAATGGACTGAAGGCAAACAATATCGATACTAATACTGATAAGTTTTTGTTACATCATTTGTAATAAATATGAAGTCCAAGAATGATGTTTTATTTTCCCTAATGTATTTTATCACATTTCCAGAGAGAAAAACATTCCTGCGTCTCCAACATATGGTGTTTACATGTAGCAGCTGATTCGACATCCAGGGTCCTTTTTCCATTATTATGATTTCAAGCAAGAAGTCGTCAACTGACCGGCTCGTAACGCAGGGTTTCAAAACATTCAAGTTAATGAAAACAAATTATTGGGACGATTTACGGTGGTCAAAATGATCTCCTTGAGCATTATTATGTCTTTTGTTCGAAATGAAGCTTGATTTATTTGAAGGTCGTTAGTTTGCCTAATGGTTCCGTTGTTAAACACGTTCTTATTTGAGAACGTGACATTATTTACTCTGATTGACTAAGACTTAAATTACGGGTATCGTCGATTAAGAAGGAGACCTTTTCTTTTCCGGAACACCTGGTCTTATTCTCCTTTTCATGGTGAGTCCCAGTGTAAATCTATCTTTTGTTCATGTTTTGCCGAGGTTTCTTGAATTTGAATTATGATTGTGTTTACATGTTAGGTATTTATTTGTTGTTGTTTTTATGAATACTACTAGATGGAAACCAGGATAATGAACAGCCTCATCGGGCCGGTATTGATCATTTAAGGCCATGTGAATGACCTATTGCTATCGTGTTCGGTCCATCATCGGTGTTCCTTTAAGATGCTTAATTAGCCTACCTTCTTAGTGAATCGACTTCAGATTCGCACCAAAATAAGGCTAGCAGGAACATAGCGCAGCCTCCCTAAAACGTGCATATTCAACACTTGCACTCATTAAATTTGTCCCAACTTTATTACGAGTTGGCAATGATTTAACAATCCTTTCTTAGAATTAGAATGCTGATTCAATCCAAGGAGACTGAGAGATGGCGGCGTCAAATAGGGATTTTTTTCTAAAATTTTGCTTTAAAATCTAACTTTTCCTCAATGTCTGACCATACTTTAACCAAGCTTGCTCTCTCAGATACATCATTGGTGAAAGAGAATCATGTTTTTTGTTAATAGATAAGGTTGACTTGAATCCTTGGAACACGAGAAGGGGCTTAAAACGCAACATTTGCCTCAAAATGTTACTCGTTTATAACGACAATGTAGATTTTAACCAACACATTATTTTGCCAGGGAATTACTGCTGAAAAGAATGTATTTGATTCAAAACCATTGGACAGGAGGAGAGGGAAGAAGAAATGTGCAAATATACGTTTTATTGAAAGTCTTTTTCTTTAGCACGAAGCGTATTTCAAACAAGAATCGTCATAAGGAGAGGGTAACAATACTTCCAGGAATGAAGTTGATTCGACCCGTGGACATAAGGCCCTAAAAGGATAGGTTGACCAAAACCTGCTTTTAAACGCTATTCCTCCTTGATGACTGGTTCGATTTTAGTTAAATGTTGCTTATAACAGCCTTGGGGAGAGAAATATTTTCTTAAATAAAAAGGTTGACCACTGGTGACGGAGGAACAGGGCCAAAAGAAGGAAATTATGTTATATTTGGTTGTTGCTTGCAACCTGAACTATAACCTGGCTTTTAATGAAGATATGCTTGCTCTTAGCGCTAGAGGGGCGGGACTTAATCAGGGAAACAGGGTACATTCTGATTTAATTTCTTCTCTTTCTGATGAACAAATGTGTTGATTCAAAACACATATAATCTGAAATATCATAGATAAAATGAAATGTTTTCTATAAATCCAAATGAGGGACATGTGTTCCTCAGGGATCAGAGGGACAGGAACCCATAAGAGCGGAGACTTGAAATCTTTCTCTAACAAGTAGCTACATACTGTACATGATACATGATCACAATGTTCCACTATTGACCACAGCTGCCGTCATGGAAAACAAATATTCATTAAGATTTGGCTTCAATTACTCAAATACCTTAGACTATCGTGATCTCCACGCTCTGACCACTTCTTATGCACATAGAATTATGTCTTAAATAGGTTCACGTCGGGAAATTTTACCACAAGATGTGTCTATATTGGAAAACATATTGAAGATATAAGAGAAAGACACGTCGTGTTATTTACAACTGAGAATTCATCCGACCAGGTCGCTTGTGATTTCAGAGTGCCACTTAACCTTGCATCGAAATTCGTTAAATTTGTTCCATCTGCAGGATTTAATTTGAAGATCTTTCGATAGATAGCCGAGTATACCGAAGTTCCCGCGAACACCCGCTTTAATTTATAAATGATTACATGAATAAGAAAAGAAATAACTCTTGTCCAATTTCGTTTTAATTACTGTGAACCTTTATTTTTTCCCCATAGAGTTTTCACTTTCCAGGGTAGCATATGTTTTTGACTTAAAGTCAAATTGAATTTTGATAATGAATGGAGAGAAAACTGATATTTTGCATAATGAACGTGCGACTGATAAGAATGCAACTTTTAAAATGCAATAAAAACTTTATTAAACTTGTGACAAACACATTTTTTTCCTGGTTTGGTATCCGTGCCTTTCTGAAATGATAGAATATACTGGTAAGCACCGTTCATATATGACAAATTAAATATGAATGCCTTTTTTTCATCTGAGAAAATCAATACTTGCACTACTAAACATCCTGTATGCCATTTTCCAAATAACGGTACTTTTGATTCGCAACAATTGTATTCATTCGTTCTTTCCATAGGCAATGCCTTGGCACTTTCAACATTGTTTCTATTATAGCGAACTTAACTAAGACGGTCTATTGATCTAGACAACAATGTTATACTTCACAATAGATAAAGATTTGTTGACATCTATGACGAACACAAAACATGATATATTCAATGCTTATATATATATATATCACATGGTGGAACTCACAAGATAATAAGAACGATGTGTTATTTACAAGTAGCAAATGAGATACTTGATCATTTAATTCTAGAGTCAACAGGTACAGATACTTACAACAAAGTAGACAAATGTTTACAAATTAGCCAACAGGTGTTGGGCCAACAGTAGATACCGGACCAACCATGTATAATGTATGGTGATTGCACATACGATCTATAATATGATTATGCCGTAACATCTGGTCTGAGGTCAGCTCATCCTCTCCGCCTCCGATCATTTGTATCATCTTCAGCTGTTTGAAGGAATAACAGTGCATCAAATAAAGGTTATCTTGCAGTATTTCAAAATGTTACAAAATTCCAAATGGAAGACTTCTTTGATGACAATTATAAATTCGTTTTATCACTATCATTATAAAAATTCAGTGGAAGCTGTTTAGCTGTTTGAATCCTTTTATTTTCTCTTCGAATGCGTCATTTAGCAAGTTTTACTAATTCAGAAAAAGACAAATTTAAAATTGTTTGATTCCTTTACGTATTTACCTCAGGAGTAATATATTATCAGCCTTAGCACAATATTTTCCAGCAAATGAAATCGAAAACACAAAAAAGTAACAGTAGAAACTCACATACTGTCCATATTTCTTACCAAATATTAAGACCATAGAGCGTACAAAAGACACGCAAATGAAAAGTTTCTTTCAATAGAGATTTAGAATAATATATTTAGTATTGTATATATCATTAAAGATCAACACAAGAGGAGATCAATCGAACGACATCAAACAAAGGAAAACGTTCTCATACACATGAGTTCCATGACACAGTTTAGAATAACAGTGAACATAGAAGGTCATATCTTGTTAAAATAAAAAAGATAGATTTCATATAAGCCAAAAATTAGATTCATCGTTTCAGTTTGTGTTAGTATCAGAAATATCTCGCTAAGACTGCAAGTAAATAGCTCATTGTGTGATATGCACCGAGGTCTGTTTTCGTCTTCATGTAACCAGTATGAAGACAGGCAAGAACTACTTCACAGCAGCTAAACAATAAATTAAACTGCATCATACGATAGTTTCGTGATGTTTTGAGCCGAAGACCTTTTTGAAACATTGAAATTAACTATATTTGACAATATAGAATGGGTGTTTTCTGACCAACTCCTCTATAAGAATGACTTAAAGATAGCTTGAAGATTAATGCAAAATTACACCAGCAATATCTAACGCAATCAAAAGCTTATATAAAAGACAAACAAGTGAATATTACCTTCCAAAACCAAACTTAGAATTTGATACCGCAGAGCCAAGAATTTAATAACTGGTGATTAATAGTAATTGATTAATGATGATATAATCTTTAATGAATGAATTGTTATATGTTCTCCGTAAAATCACAGAAACTTGTGTGGATACCGTACTTCTGATTGTTCCAATCCTGAGTTGGTATGGACATCATGTTGTTCAGTAGGGCTTAGACTCATGAAGTAGCAGGTGTGTGTAGTTCGTCCTACCAAATAGTGCTAAGAAGGTAGAATAGATAAAAGAAAATAAATTGTCAGATATATATTAATAGACCTTATTTCAAGGACCACACCGGAGTCGCAGGTTCTAGAAACACTTTGGGTTAATGTTGCTACTCAATATATTGCTCTTTAGTGAATTCTTATCAGTTACGACGTTTTTTATGTTCCGAGATATTAAATAAATTTCATGAAATACGACAGTCTTTGATCGAAGCTGCAACCCATTGTCTTTTCTTTATTTCACATGGTGTTTAAAACATTGAAGGGTTCCAATATTCGCATATGGAAAAGAACTATTGGTGCGTAAATTCGCTTCTTCGCAACATTAAATCATTTAAAACACAATACATCTTGTCGCAATCATATGAAACTGGCGGTGATGAAAGTGCCGTACGTTCTGTTAATAAATTGAGCATTACTCTGTAATTTACACTTAAGCAATTTATATTAGTTGATTACTCTAAGGTATTAAACTTGTGTCCGATTTTGTCGATAAGGTGCGCTGATAAAATTTAGCAAACAAGTGGTAATGAAACGTCTTGTCACAGACATTTGACTAACTGAGAATTGAATTTAGATATGAATTAAGATGATAAACTTGCACTCATTTGAGAATGTGACATATCTTATTTAGCTTAACTAAGAATTGCATTGCTATAGCAGACGATGAAGTAGAAAATGCTTACCTTTGTAAAATGTTTCCATACCATGTCAAGGATATCCATAAAAAATGTATTGTTAATATATCAGTGCTGCGTCATTGGTTTTGAAATACGATTATGGTTTTCAGTTTTGGTGCATGTATGTGCGAAATCAAATTGTCGTCATCACATTTTGTTACTTACCGATTGTGAGTCATAAAAGAAGGTGAAGGTACCATGCTCTTCATGATTATGATGCCCATGCAGATTGAATATCTAAAGCATATAAATATGAGAAATATGAAATTATGAAAGCAACTAATACATTCAAAGTATGCATGTATTTAAGCTATCTGGAATAGCAACCATGATTTTAATTTTTGTTCGTAGGAAGACGTGAATCCCTTTTAACGCTGAACAACCAGCAGTGAACACGATGTAACGTTTTAATGTCTTAGGTATGTTAAGTCCGAGTGACAGCAATCCTTCTTACTTACAACATTTCATTCCTCAGATCACGCTATATTTCATGGCATCATCATCGGTGGCAATCCGTGCTAAATATGTTAACAGTAAACCCTTTTCTTTTTCTAACAAAATGCAGTGATAGGTCTCCTATTAGGTTGCATGTTATTGGCAGGATCTTTGTGGACTCATTAAATGGGGTGAATTATTTGCCAACATTCTGTTGAAAAGCACAGTTGATATGATTAAGCGAATTTATCCGGAACTTATATCGATATCAAAATGTCAAAATGAGCAATCACTCTTTAGTTGTTTGTGTATTCAGGGTTATCTTATGCCTCTGATTTATTTCTACTAAAAAAATCATAAATACTTTCTTAAACATAACACGATCTCAAGCTGGACAGTTACAATGTGTATCGAAAACAAGGCAATATGAACAGAATGAAGAGTGCAATTGGGAGAGCAATGACAAGATGAGTTTGATTCATAACATGGGCTATGAGCGAAGACAAAAGATAGCTGCTTGCTTTGCATGTGATAAGTCAGTCTGACAAATTCAATCGAATTAAATTTCACTCATTAATGATTTTTAAGGCATTTTCGGAACTCATTGAAAACAATTAGAAACAAAACAGACTTACATTTGTACATTATGAAATTCTATCGGAAAATTGACAACCTTATAGACGAATCGCGTTTACGAAAAGTTAAATACATCTATAAGAATGATAAGAATATTTAGATAAACACTATCATAGCTCGTTATATATGACTTCTCTTACTGTTCCATTAGGAAATCCATTCCCCATTATTCTTTTGAACTATTAAATAAGTTGAATATCTATATATGATCATTATTTATCGTCTAATTTACCTGTGCGGTAGCACATGCGACTAATGCCACTAAGCAAATCTTTTGCAACATGTTCGTGTCAGGTGGTCTCCGATTGAAGTGATCTTAAAACGAAGATAAGATTTCTATATACTATTCATTTGCCCGGTGGAAAAAAAAACACCTCAGCTATCTAAGATCGTGACAAAATTGTGGTGACATAAGATGTGTCGATAACATGCAAACAAAAAACAAAAGACAAATTAAGTGTTGGGTCGGCTACCGAGGGATTTTTATAATGACATTTTTAGAAATAACATTTGATGTAAAGAAAAATTAAAAACATACAAATAATTATGAATATTACACTGATGGCAAATTAACGAAATAACCTATTTGAAAATGTACGACTCACCTCGTTTCAAATATCAATGAGTGAAAATGACTCAATTTAATGTAAATCAAGTGTCTACATAGGGACAGGGGTCAATATAGGAAAAAGGATTTGATGTCAAAATTAAGTTTGAACTTTTTAATGCCTTTTGATTGTTGTAGCAATATCATTGGATTCGTATTTAAAGTTTTCTGTGTTTTTATCTCTTTTTTCATGTATCTGCTCTTACCTGTATGAATTTTGTGAACGCCTTAAAGACAGAATTGTTGTTTAAAATTTAATACAGCTTTTGCTGTGCAGTTTTGTTCCAATCATCAGTCCCAATATTAAAAGGCCACAACTGGGGTCAGAGGGAACTTACGATTAAAATTTGAGAAAGGTTTATCCAGCAACTCGACGAAAATATCGATAAAAATTGGCAAAATCCCTGAATGCAGAGTCATGGGAGGGGGGACTGAAAAGGTTGGAGACAATCGACTTTAAATCTATCATGAACAAGTTACTGAATGACACATTACCACTATATTGCAATTGATAATCAGCTTTAAATCTTTAATTCAACAAGTAACTACATACTGTAAATGACAAGTGGACACTATGTTCGACAACTGACCACAGCTTCCATTTTGGAAAACAGATGTTTAGTAAGACAAACTACATACAGATGAATATCATGATTTCTATGCTCTGAACACTTCATGGACATGGACTTATGTCTCAAATGTGTTCACATCGAGAAATTTACCCATCAGATGTGTCCGTATTGGAAAACATATTGAAAATGTAATTGTTAGATACATAGTATAGATTACAAGAGGGACTCCATCCGTCCAGGTCACTTGTAATGCCACAGTGTCACGTAACCTCGCATCGCAGTTCAGTAAAGTAGTTCTACCGGCAGAGTTTTTTTTCAATATTTTTCGATAGGTAATGGGATAAACCGAAGTGCCCACGACCACTTTCTTTGCCTTGTAAGCAAGTAAATAGAAAATTGAATTTGTGTTTCAGAAAAAAACGAAACCGTGTTCTTTTTCGTTTTAATCATTACAAACCTTTAATTTCCTATAGAGTTTTCACTTTCAATAGTATATGTCAAAATTAATTTTGAAAACGGATTTAGACAAACAATGATATTTGTACAAACAACTTACGACTGAGAAGTGTGCAGCTTCTTGGTAACATAACACAAAATTCTAAGAAAAGCTTTACTACACTGTTGGCAAGAACATCTTCTTTCCTGGTTTTGGTATCGGTGCCTTTCTGAAATGATAGGGTATACTGGTAAGCACCGTTCACATATGAAAATTGGAAAAAGATAGAGATTTTTTTCCATCTAAGAATGCTTCAGAAAATCAATACCTGTTACAGTTAACATCTTGTATGCTTTTTGCAATTGACGGCACTTTCGATTCACAACAACTTTAACTATCGTTCGTTCCTAGGCAAAGTACTGACACTTATAACATTTTATTCTATCATGGAAAACTGAACGACAATAGACTATAAATAGTGTTATACTTCATAATAAATAAACATTTGACATAGGTGACGAAACACACAACATAAAATATTCACTCTTTAGCATAAATCACCTGGGTGATTTGTTATTTACTAGTAATATATCATACAATTGACCGTTCAATTCTGAAGCCAACTGGTAATAATACTTAAAACAAGGCAGACAAATGTTTACACATTAGACAACATTAGACAAAAAGTAGACACTGGACCAAACCTTCTATAATCTATGGTGTAGAAATGTATATCTGGTCTGATGTCAGTACATTTCTCCGTTTCCGATCATCTGTATCATTTTCAACTGTTTGAAGGAATAGTGAAGAAAACGAAAAATAATAGTAGAACACCATATTTCTTACAATGCAAATCCTAATGACCTTATATTGTACAAAAGACACAAGAGATTGTTTTCAGTATGAATTAAGAATTGTATAATTCATATTACATTGATAATATTCGTGAATATTGTAGGTCATATCTAATTAAACAGAACGATTGCAATTTGCGATGTCGATGTTGCTCCATATTTCTCTCATGTGATTTCATTTAAAGTGCATATGAACCCAAATGACACCTGTGTCAGGTGATAAATGACTAATTTAGGGCATGGAATAAAGGTGATGAATTTTAACAGTAATATATTGAACAACATTAATGGTGATGCGAATCAGGAAGGGCCAAACAAATCATTGGTGAAAACTAACGACGAAACCATCTCTATCCTACTGCAAGCTAGGTAATAAATGGTGTCTAGGCTTGAAATAATAGTTTATTAATTTCACGCTTACGAACGACCATCTAATCAGTCATACTGATTAAAAATCTTACGGAAGCCCAGAAATGCGAGTAAACATCTAGATTCGTCTTACGTAGTATTTGAAATACAGATTTTATCTGTTTCAGTCTTTAAACATACCGTCAACTCCGTATACATCAATTGGAAGATGGAAGACAGAATATCTGATTTGGTCAGTTTCATTTTATCTTTGTACGTAGAATTTGATTGATCATGGTTTTAATTGCGTTGATCGATAAGACATCGATAGAAGTTAACCATTGTAACGGAAGCGTATACGTAAATTTGATGTTGTTTGTTAATTTTCTTTACATGCACGTGTATTGATTGAAGAGATTAAACAATCTGGGACTAATCCAGTGTACCTACCGTCCATATTGAACAACTCGTAGGATGGAGATTTTTTTTTTCGTTTTCAACAATTGTGTTGCGCATTCAGCTGAGCGTCAACCCATGTTAGGAAGGCTTTAGGTTCTGACCTCTGACAGAGATATACGAGACTTTAAAATGGTAGTTATACTTCCTGTCCAACATGTAGTATAATGGTTGTGTAATGCTACGTTTGCACTATTTAGTATGTAGTAAAACTGGTTAATCGCTATAAAACCTAACAGTACGTAGTAGACCGTAACATTACGTTGAACTGCTCCGTAGTGGGGCGACAATCCTATGTATTCCCCGGCATCTAAAATAACATTCAAGTTTTGTCACGATGTGATCCGTTTTGTCACGGTTCTCACGGCAAGCTAGGATGTACGACAACCGTTTTCGTTACGTTTCAATTACGGTGCGTTCCGTTGAAAATCATGATTTTTTATATAAAATAATATCGGTCGAGGAGAGGGTCTGGCTTTTTAATCGCATTCATTTTCGCATCAATCGGAGCCAATCACTTACAAATGCCTGCAGTGGGGAGGGCTTTTATTTATTTATTATACATAATTGTTTTTTCTTATTTATATGACATAATAGCTGTAGCGGTAGTGGAATCACTTATCAAATAAAACTTTTGAACATCTCACGTTTTGCTGATAACAGACAAACCAGTCTTCACAATACTAAAAGATAAGACTTTAGTAAACAGCAGCAAATGCTATTTACAAAGACCAAGGTACACGTATACATTTGGAAAAGAACCAAGAGCTGTCAGCTGGTAAGTTCCCTAGACAAAGACCGATAGCGCTTGCGAAATAAGAAGAGGTCCATGGGCGTTAACGTGCATAGAAACATATATAGTGAACATAAGTGCTTCCCACAAAAGATATCAAAATGGGGAAAAGAGATAAATGGACAATCTTAAGGAAACGACAGACATTGCCCCTTGGTCCCAAGGGATTAAATAACATTCATTTATATAAGATATAAATGTCTTCGCCTTACAAATTATCATATAAAATCCAGTTGAAATATGTGCAGGCATATCCCAAAGTTCCCTTATAGAGCCTCAACTTGACCCTTAGCTGTTGTATTAACTTCGTTTATAATAATTACGATTGCCTTTCCCTTATGTTGTTTCGTGCCAAAGGTTGAAATATGTACAGTCTTAGTTTAGTTTAGTTAGTTTAGTTTATTACCAGTGCAGGATCGTTACTATCCTCTATACCGGTCTCAGTGATACAATGATAATGTTTATAATTATTGTAACTTGAGACGTCAGATCCAGGAACTACAGAATTTCTGCTTTATAATTATATACCAGTTCTTGATTTGCCCAGAGTTCATCTAATCTATTTTTGAAAGATTTAGCTGTTGGTGACGATACAATATACTCCGGAAGATTGTTCCATATTTTGACCACACGCAAAGAAAAAGAACGTTTCCTGATGTCAAGTTTACAGGGCTGCATGTAAAGTGTTTTGGAGGGACCCCTTGTTCGCTGAATTTGAACTTTGTCGATCCCCAATTTAAGGAAACCAGCAGCGTTACTATCACAAAAATTGTTCGTAATTTTGAAGACTTCAATCATATCCCCACGAATCCTCCTGAATGCCAATGTTGGTAATTTTAGGCGTTTCAGTCTTTCCGAATAAGTCAGTTCCTTAAATCCTGATAATTGTTTTGTTGCTCTCCGTTGCACTGCCTCGATCATATATATATGTTTGACTTTATATGGATGCCATACAGTAATAGAATGTTCCAGATGAACCCTAACTATTGTTTTGTACAATAATGGGAAGTTATGTTCATTGAGAAATTGAAATGTTCTCCTTATTAGTGCAAACATAGAGTTTGCTTTTTTGACTTGTGTACTTATTTGTTCATCAAATGATAAAGAATTGTCTACAATTATTCTTATATCTTTTTCTTGGTAGACTTCCTGTAATTCTTCGTTATTTAAATAATATTTTCTGTCTCAACTTTGCCTGCCAATGTGCAAAAATTTAC